AAATAGTTACAAAACAATATATTCTATCAAGAAATTTAATAGAAAAATGTCTGTTGAAGCGAATTTGAAAGTATGTCATTAGAATTTTGTAAAAATTATGCATACAGACATCTTTTTTGTAAGATGGGCAAATATTTACATTGGTTTAAAGAAATAATTTTACATAAATAAAATACAAAATTCGAATGAAAGTAGTCCAATAGCTCTTGAGAAATCAAGCTTGAAATATACGGGTTTTTTTTTAGATGAAAAATGTCGCATTTTTTTCATTAAGAATTATTATTTTTACCTATACAAATAAAGGAGAAAATATTTCCCTTTAAATTATTATGGCATTATAAAAAAAACAAAAGCATCTATTTCAACATTTTTTATTAAAGAAATTTAAAATTTAATTGCCAACACTTTAAATCGTTGACCTTATATGTTCTTGCATTAAGACACAAATATAGGTTATTCTATTACAAGGAAACGTGAAAATAGAAGAAAGAAATTTATTAGTTTTCATGTGTAGTTCTTTCTATAAAACATGTGATGTTTTTTTCGTTTTTTTAAGATTGAGTACTATTTTTCAACAAATACACCTAAGCTAAATAAATATAAAATTAAAAAAAAAATTTTTTTTTCTTTCTTATTTTAATCGAAATCTGTATCTTTCAAGTTTTTCCACTACAAAACCAGTTTAAAAAATAAATAACTTCATTTATTTCAGCTTCGGAAGTATTGAAAAAAAATAGCTTATTAAGGTTGTTAAAATAAAACTAAATTCAAACCATTTTTCATTTTGAATACATTTCCAAAGACCTTAAAAAGAGAAGAAGTAGGGCTGCTGTCAAATAACTGGAAATGAATCCACGGTGAAATAAAACAATATTTTAAGCTCGGCAGAAAGGATGACAGTTTAGAGCAGTCGCCAAACTTCTAAAAATAATTAAATGAAAAGAGAAACACCATTTTGAAAATAAAAAAAATGATCGATTTTTTTCCATCTGGTTACCACCACCAGTCGCATATGGCTAGGGAGAAGAAAATTCTAGTAACGATAAAAAATAATTTGAAGAAACTGCAAACGAAACTCAATTCCGACTGATAAAAAATACTAAAAAAAAAAACCCTGTTAAGACAGGTTTTTGAAAGCACTTTTTCTCAGACATTTGATTTTTTTTCCTTTTTTTAAATATATGTATCTTTAAGATAGATAAGTTTTAAGAAAAAAAAAGGTTTTCTAAAATTTTGAAATCTAATTTTCGTTCAACTCTTTCCACTTGATAAAGATCTGAGATGAAGAATAAGAAAGAATTAAAAACTTTTGTCACACATAATTAAAATAAGAAAACTTGTGTGAAATAATATTGCTCAACTCTTACGTTAAGGAAGTAATTTTGGTCATTTCTATAGTGTGGTTGCACTTTACTTAAAAAGATATTATATTTTGAGAAATATCCCAAATTAATTGATTTTCCTTAAAAGAATTATAAGTTTTTTTTTTCTGAGGATTTAATTTCTTGTCTGATTTTTCAAAAAGTATTTGATTAATTACTGTCATTTTTCTGTTTTCTTAAATATTATTATTTGAAAGAATAATAAACTAAAGCAGACCTTATATATATATATATAACATCAAATCCAGACTTTAACTGAACGCAAAATTGTGTTTTTCAAGAATTAAAAGATAGTATTATGTTTACATTCGGAAGTTGGGAAGATAAATCTTTCTGTGAATTAGCTTTTAAACTGTGCCGAAATTATTTTGTATATACCTATTATTACATTTTTCAATTTGAATTGATTAACTTTTTAGTTTGAACATTATTTTAGGAGTTAAAATAGTTCTTTTCTTTGGTCAAAATTTTTAATAAATACACTAGGCCAAATAAGGAGGAATAAAAAATTTTTGTCATACATAATTAAAATAAGAAAACTTGTGTGAAATAATATTGCTCAACTCTTACGTTAAAGAAGTAATTTTGTTCATTTCTATAGTGTGGTTGCACTTTACTTAAAAAGATATTATATGTTGAGAAATATCCCAAATTAATTCGTTTTACTTAAAAGAATTATAAAGTTTTTTTTTTTTAAGTTTAATTTCCTGTCTGATTTTTAAAAAGTATTTGATTAATTACTGACATTTTTCTGTTTTCTTAAATATTATTATTTTAAAGAATAATAAACTAAAGTAGACCTTATATATATATAATATCAAATCCAGACTTTAACTGAACGCAAAATTGTGTTCTTCAAGAATTAAAAGATAGTATTACGTTTACATTCGAAAGTTGGGAAGGTAAACCTTTCAGTGAATTAGCTTTTAAATTGTGCCGAAATTATTTTGTATGTACCTATTATTATATTTTTCAATTTGAATTGATTAACTTTTTAGTTTAAACATTATTTTTGGAGTTAAAATAATTCTTTTCTTTGGTCAAAATTTTTAATACATACACTAGGCCAAATAAATGCAAAATATGCTTTTATAAATAATTATTATACTTATTTATTATTTATAAGTTTACAGATTTTTTAGAAATATTAGTTTTGGTTAACTCTACAATGTAAAAGCTTAAGAAGAGATTTTGTGTTAAAGCAAAACAAATACATTTTAAAAGAAAGATCAAAATAAAATTACAACATACGTATTGAGATGTCCATCAAGATGATTATTATGAAGAAAAAAATTACTATGAAACTTCACTAATAAGGATATTTTTTCAATAACACTTTTTCAAGTAAATGTTTTATTGAAAAGCATCCAGGGAATTTTGAAATGAACATATTTAAAATAAATTTTATCGAAGCTTTAACATTACCTTAATGCGAAACTATTTCTTAATTAAAACATAAGACAATTTCAAAAATGTTTACAAAAATTAAGGCTATAAAAAGTTATTCAATTTATTACAAAATTCTACTTCTCAAAAGAATTTTAAAAATCACAGATTTACAATATACATTAAAAATTAAATAATGTGGAAACAATGTAGTACGATTTGTGTAGTTATATAAACATAATATACCAGTAAATAAGCAAATATTTTTAAAAAATAAAATTTCTGTGAAAAAAAATACAATGCTTGAACGTGTAAGAAATATCTTTTCTATGCACTGTCATAGTTCCGGTTATTACAATTTATGTAAAGCTGACTTATTATTTTTGTTTTATCTCTATAAATTTATAAAGAGGATATTTAATTATTAATAAATTTTTGTAGCCAAAGGATCGTGTACTATGTTTTATCAGAAGGACACCGCATATCTGTAGGCCATGATGTTCGTGGACACTCAAACTCTTAAAAATATTTTAATTATTTATTTGAAGAATAATGTTTGTTAACTCTATAAGAATATCTATCTTTTTATAAGAATAATGTTTGTTAACTCTAGAAATTTTTATTTTGTACTTTGATTTTTACCAAAACAATTAAACAATTGAAAATGTTTAGAAGTATGTATTATACAGTTCTAGGAATATAGCCCACTTCTGTTATAAATTTTAAGCAATATACATAGGTAATTAAAATAATTGTAAAAATACCTATTTGTGATAACTTTATATATTTGATTTATAGGTTTCATATGAAAAAAATGAAATGTATAATTTCATTAAAATCAAGATAAAATTTTATACTTAAGCGTTGCTGCCGTTCTGTTAAATGTTAAAACAAAACATAATATTTATCAATTGCGTCATTTTTTTTAAAAAAAATTTCAATATTAATTTTACAAAATAAAAATCAAAGCACTCTGATTATTAAAATTATTACAAAACGACGCCATTGCTAAAAAAAGTATACAATAAAAACAAACAATATAAATTATTTAATAAAGTTAATTGATTGTTGAAATAGTCGCTGACGTTTTTAAAAATGACATACACATTTTAAAAACAATAACTATTTTCAAAAGAATAAAATTTCAAAAGAAAAATATCATAAAACAAGAAATTAAAGTATCCTTACCAAATAAAATAAAACATTCTAAATATTTATAACATTCATAATATTCTCATACATTTTGTTATATATTTTTATTCTATAGTTATAAAAATAAAGTCATAATAAATTTGGAAAAATGACAGTTTTTGGTTTTAGCTCATAAGTTGTCTGTCAACCAAAGGATTAATTTAAATCAGCTTAATTTTAGAAATACATTTTGAAAAAAATTCATCGTCCGATTCCAAGTGAATGTATAAACTAAAAATAAAACTGATAATTTATTAAAACAAAATAAGAGCAAGAATTTTCCTAAATCTATGGTAACTTATTTTTGATATGCGAATATTAAAGAAAAAGTTATAAATTTAAAATATTAAGCACATTAAAAGACAAATACAAAGAATTCTAATACAATGGAAACTTTTTTCGAGCAATAATTTTCTTACTAATTTTAGAACAATCGAAAGCTTTATTTTCTTAGAAGAAATATGGTGCTTAATATTTTCGTCATTGTTTTATTCGTATATGCATGCTTTTCATATGTTTTATAGTCTAAGCTTTTATAATCTAATTTATTTTGATTTGTCCCATCAATTTTGAAAAGTTCATTTACGTATATTATTTAAGTAGTCATTCGTGGCTTCCTATATTGTTTATTTTATCTCCCAATAAAATAACCATCAACGCATTATTATTTAGCGGCGATAATTTTATTACACAGTAAAATTACCGCCGTTAGAGTAACAAAAATCAATTAGTAATTGGCTCTACTTTAATTGCTTAAGAGCTCTGTAAAAACTCAGGGCTGTATTTATAAAAGATTAGGACAGAAATGTATGTTTCTATTTAAAAATAGTTTATCTATGGGAAAATAATTGTAACTGTTGAAGAGGTAATTTGATTACCTTGACAACTTTGAGCTGCGAAGCATAATGACAGTCGGTAAGTGAATCATATTATTTCTAATCTGTATTACATATGACAACCATTTGAGGAATGTGAAAATTTTAATGGAGTAATGTATGGTGGAATTCTTTAATTTTCTTTTAATTGTTTTTCTTTTTTAAGTTTGCAGCGTTGTCCAATGAATCCTGGAAATATAGGGTCACAAAGTGCCAAAAGGATTACTATACAATACAGAATATACTGACATTTCTAATGGAAAAAAAGAACGATGGAAACGAAATAAAACATTTAAATTGATGAAAGATCTTGCAAGCTTTATGAAAACAAAATTTCTTGAGAAAAAAATAGTTGGCACAACTGTGAAACGTTCTATCTGAGAGCCAAAGAGGATGAAAACGGTATTTCTTAAATTAACACATTTTATAATTTATCTTTGAATTAGCAATAACGGTATATTTTTATACCACTTAAAAAATAATCGATGCTTTAGTAGGAAGCATAAATTTTTTACGAGCTACTAACAATATATTTAAACAAACTATATTTTTCAGCAAAAATTTCCAAGTCGCAGAAAATTAGTTTCTACTAGGTTGTCATGGTTATATCTGACTGTTAAAGTTTTATTTGACGCCACTTTCAAAAATGTCGTTTTTTTTTTTTTTTTTTNTTTTTTTTTTTTTTTTTTTTTTTTTTTTTTTTTTTTTTTTTTTTTTTTTGAAAGGTGACGCGCATTCTGTTTTTATAACTATAAAGAATAGAAGTGTCATCAGGTGTTATGAATCAAATTTTTTCAAAACATTGACTGTAGACAAACGAACACTGTCTTTCACTCATCTCCTAATGACATGGCTTTAACAAGTTTTATATGATTTCAGTTACAGGTAAAAGTAATTCGCTTATATTTCCCCTCCATGTAGGAAAATTCTGAGTGAATTTACGAAATGTTTGTTGCTGTATTTTTAATAAAATGTAAAACTTTTCGAGCAAATTTTCATTATATTCTGTGCATAATATTAAAAGTTTGGAATACAAATACAAAATTACTAAAATCTTATGCCAGATATATTTTTATTAGAAAAATACACATTGAAATTTCCCGAAATTTAATGAATCCAAAAAAAGGGGAGATTTCAAGAAATAGTCATGTCATAATTGTATTTATTTATACTTCTACCAAATTCAAATATATTAAATAATAAGCATTTAATAATAATAATGACTTAAACTAAAGCATTGTATATTATAGAATGCGAAAATTACTCTTTAGTACGATTTGAAAATGAAAAAGGTTATATTGCAACCAAACGTGGGTGCCGCAAGGTTACAATAGCAATCATACGTGCCAAAAAAAAAAAAGAAAAAATATATATAAACATTTTATATTTGTCAAATTTAGGAAGAAAAATAGTATTTCTGTCCTTATAATAAATTTATAGAACCGTCCAATGTGTTTTCTTTTTTAAGAATTTTCTTGCTTGAAAAAAAAAAAGTTCAGTTGAAGAATTCTTGAAAACTTTCTTAGTATAAATCAGTAAAAAAAAACATGAATAATTAGTTACTTATTGAACTTATTTTTAATTTATTAATCTTGTTCAAATAGCAGCATCTCAGTTACTGATACCCCCCTGAATCATATTTTATGTTTGAAATTTTTTTTCCGTCATAATTACAATACCCAAACGTAATGTATCAGGTTTATTTTTCATTTTTTAGACAGAAAAAAATGAACACAATGTTATAATTTTCATTCCAAAATTATGTTAAAATAACCAACAAGAGTCTGTCCATCCAATTAACCGTAAAGTTTACGATATAGATTATCTTAAAAAGTTTTGAAAACGTTTTTATCTTAAAAAGTCATTACTTATCTTAAAAAGTTTTGAAAACGTTTACAACTAGTACGAATTCAAGACCATAAAAAAGAATTTAACAGTATATTAGAGTTAGGCTTTTGATTAGGTAATGAGAGTTGGAAAGTACATGACGCAAATTGGGGAGTGCAGGACATTGAAAACTTTTCATTTGTTGAAGGGAACAAAAGAAATATTTTGGTGTCAACGCTAGGAATCTTACTCCTGTTCTGCTGACCAAGAGACTGACAGCTTAGCCCTCTTGGCTATTATAACTACGCAACTGCCAGGAATTAAATAGCTTCATTAAGTGGGCTTAGTTGGTGTGATAAAATTCTGGTTGTTTAACCATATTGGGTTAAAGCAGTCAATAAACGGTTTTAATCTCAACTAACGGTTTGAATACCAGCTTATTTATGGATGTTTGGCTGTTTGTTTGAATATGGTAAAATAACAATTAAATAAAATGTTATTTAATCACTTTCTTCGAAAAATTTCCAACAGTGCATAATGCATTCAAATTAGAACTGTTTGAAACTGCTGAAAAACTAATAAGTCATTAGTTTGTATGATATGAACTAGATTACTAGCACACCGTCAGAAAATTTAGAGTTCGTTGAAAGATAATATATCATTCAAATGTGCTAAAAATAATACCAAAATTAAACCACATTATAATGCAAAAATAAATCACCATAAACTTGATTAAATTATACTATAGATCAATTTGAACGAACACCTTCTTTTCACCAAATTATCATGATATTATGGTTTGGTGTTATACTGATGTGTGTGGGTTTGATTCTTTGTAACCATACTTGAACAGAAGCTATTTTTTTCAATTTTTCATAATTAGTATTTTGCATCTTTTAAGTATAGTTTTTTTTGAAATTTAAATATGCCTGTTTTATTTAGAGATGAACTTTTCGATTCGCTATGAAGTAAAAAACAAAACTGTATTTTAAAAATTTATTTATTCCTATTATTTTCATGATGCAAAAAAAGCCCCGATATCAATTTATACTATAAAATCGTTGTAAGTTTTAAGTTAATAAATTCAATATCAAATTAATAAGCTTAATATCACATCCAGTAAACACTTATTTTTAATTTAGATTCAAATGCAACACAAAATGTAAACTCATCACAAACTATAAACTCACTATGTATAAATAATGCAAGATATTTGTGTCTTGCATGAATAATTCCTAATTTAATCATTTTAGTTTAGGATCAAAAGCAAGCAATTAACCAATTAACTCTGTTTAAATATTTGTATCTGCAGTATGTATTTTAGAATTTTACAATAAACTCGTGTTTTACATTAAGCTTAGTTCATAAAAATAAAAAAAAATTAAACATTTATAAGCTAGTTAATATTAACTAGTCAACTTTAGTTGATCTTTTAAGTTCTATTGAAAGTATTAAATCACGAATGTTGACTCAATTATACAATGTATTATACTTAGGATACCATAATTCATGTTTATCTTCTATATCATGTTGGGAAAAAAAACAGATTCATAATTTCTTCTCGTGTTCATACGATAAAAATATGCAATACAACTTTCATACTTTAAAATTAGTTTAAAATTTGACTACTAGCAATAATAGTTGAAGACTAAAGTGCTTTTATTGATTTTGAAATGTGTTACAACAAACAATTCAAATTTCAATTAAAAATAAATTTAGCACGATTTGAATAGTTTCTATACTGTACAAATTAATTGTGACAAGTTTATTTCATTCTAAAGTTTTTAGACCTGGTCACGTCGAACAATTTGTAAAACACAGTTTGAATCACATGTCACTGTTATCCCCGTTGTATGACTCGAAGAATTCAGCAAAATCTATATAAATATAATGATATTGTGCACATTAATTGAGAAAAACTATGTTTTTATTGATATAATGTCTTTATATGCAGTGAGTCTTTCCTGCAAAACTCTTGGCATATTCTGAATATAGTATTCGGGACTTTTATAATAATATTTAGCATGTGAGTCCATTTTACTTAAACAGCTCTTCAAAATAACCAACATGATCTGGGAATATTCATGCAAATCAAGCTTTTTGATTTGTAATCTCTTGTTGTAAGCTTTTGATTTGTAAAGTGTAAATTTCCGGAGTATTTTATACAATTAAAACCATTAAGACATAAGAGAGGTATTGCGTACGCTAACAGTAGTATTAAGCTTATTTTCTACCCCTTTGTGATATTGCGATTTTTAGGGAAATTTTCGCTCATGCGCTGAGAAAATCTGAAAACGTTACCGTTAAAATTGGGAGGAACCATAATACTTTGCAAAATCTCTCTATTTAAGACGAGTGGTACCCGTGAAATGTCCCGTAAAATGTTTCCATGCATGGAAAAATCTTTCAACGTAATATTTATGTGTACTATGTATATATGTATGTATATATTATATATTATGTGTCAATTAAAAACTCCGAGCCTTATTTTTTACGAGAAAAAAAATCTGAAACATTTGCTTAAAACGGTGTTTTACAAATTATTCGACAAATCTTAAAAAACTAACTGAATCCCAATTAACCAATTCAGAATAGTATTGTATATGTACTCGTACATGGAAAAATTTCAACGCTTTTAAGTAACATAGAGCAGGTTGCATAGTTTGTAGCTTTATAGTTTTGGTTTTATCATATGAATGGAGTAAATATGGAACACTTTTCATATGGTATAATTGAATTTGGTAATCGGATTACAATTTCTTTAAGCTCAATAAATATTAAGTTCGCATAAAATCTATATTTAATACATCAATATTTAAAACATATTTATTTAACACTAATATAAATATTTCATATTGTTTACCATTTGTAAAAATTTATGATTATAAGAATCCGAATGAATAATTAATGCTAATAACCTGAATAAAAAATAATACAAAACTATTATGTGCATTGGCAATGTAATGTTTTCATTTTATAGAAAAACATTAACATTTAAAACGTAACTAACGGCTTTTTCCTCTTTATAGTTGAATTTTAACTGATTTTTGTTAATTTAATTAAAAAAGTTTTTCATTAATTCGTTTAATTATCCACAAGACCAATATTTGAGATTTGAGCATAAATTTAAATTTATCAAAGATTAGTTATGTTTAAATTTGTGTAGTTTTAGTAACCTGAATTAATAATTAATGTAGGATTTAACTCAAAAATATCGCACGAGATTTAAGTATAATCATAAAAAATCAACATTTAGCCAATAAATGCAGCATAGATTTAGTATTAGCATTTAATTTTTTTTATCAGAAAACAGTCAATAGGGGCATATTTCATAGGCTCATTACTCTAGAGGGTCCTAAAAATGTGGTTTTATAAATATTAAACGTATGGGAAAAAATTGACTATCCAATTTATTTTTAGTACTGAAATTTTGAAAACCTTATTTTTTATTTTATGGTTGAAATAGAAAAAGATAACATTTGCATCAGAAGAAATATCATACAAATCAAAATAATTGAGTAAGTAAGAAATTTATTTAAAAATTTTTTAATTATTATTTAAACCACTAA